GATGTGTAGGCAAACCAAGATCAAGACCAGGATCTTCATGGTGCTGATTTCAGTGGCCCACAGACACACAGGACACAGTGGCACACACAAGAGTTGGAACAGACAGAGGAAGACTGAGCCTCTTTTTTATCCCCTGGTCTCCCTGCACTTTCCACCTGTTGGTCTGTGGCCTTCTTAGCCTTTTACAAGTTTGTGCCCCTGCATATCCATGGATTATGTTTGTTTCTCCTTCTGGCAAGCACCTTGGTCTTTAATATCCACTCTGTGGTCAATTTAAAAAATGATTAGTGACTTTGCTGATGGAATCCATAGATTAGGATGTGATAAGGAATGCGAATGCACTGGGGACAAAGGATCCTGGTGCCTGCACCTACTGGGAAATGGGTGCTAGCAACTTCTGCCAGAACAATGGAACAATCTGTTCTTTGGCTCCAAAGTCCATGTGCTTTCTGGAGATTTACAGTAGACTTTTCACTTCTTCCCCTTTTCCTTCTTGTTCCTTTCATCAGACTCAACTATAGTCTTCTGCTGTGATTCTCATAGCCCATGACACTCTGATCTGTATTTTCAGTTTCTTAGTTCTCAATTAGCCAACATTGATGGAATGTCCACTTCTGCAGTAAGCTCTGGGAGTACAAAGAAATTTCAGGAATGGTCCTTGTATGCAAAGTTGGCATCCTGCCTAATGACTGACACATACTTTAATTACAAGGTGATGTGATGGCTCCAGCATCCAAATGTGCTGAATGATTGAGAGTGAAAAGAACAGTATTCATGAAGCAAGCACAGACAAGAAGTGATACCTCTTGGGAGGATGGAAAAGCCTTCAGGGAAGAGGTCACATTTGAGTTGGGATCTTGCAGGATGGTAGATGAGAATATGATGAAAGTGGAAAAGCCACTGGAAGCAGAAACAAAGCCTGAGCAATGGCACCCAAGAGTGCAGTTTGTGTCAGGAAGTCAGAGAACACTGTGACCAGTGTGGCCAGAAGAGCAATTCCTAACATGGCCCCTATAAGCCAAGACCTACCCATAGGAACGGCACTGCGTCTGCTCAGTCCTCTTCATGTCAATTAGCTCTGGAAATTATTTTCTTTGAAAAATTATTTTATACTCAGGATTCCCTCACAATAGAACTGTAAAAATAAAAGGAAAACTCTTGATTCTTCAAAATTATATGAAAGCAGCATATATTCAGTATCCACAGGATTTTAACTTCTATTCTATCAAACCATTTATTATTATGTCTCATACTGGTGGAGCACACCCTGGAGCACCTGGATAAACCTCCTGGAGCATAGCACTAGGTGTTCACATGGGCGTGACTGGATGGTGAGGTGGACCTCATACACCATGCTAAGTAAAATGGACTTTATTCCTTAAGCAGTAAGGATCCATTGATTTTTTTAAATCCCAGAAATGACACACTCAATGTCTTCTATATACCCTATGTACTAGTTTCTAGATTGGAGCATTTATTTATTTATTTATTTATTTATTTATTTATTTATTTATGCATGCTTTGACTTCATTGCCTTTTTTTAAAATTTTTTCATTATCTTTTTTTAATAATAAATTTATTTTTTATTGGTGTTCAATTTGCCAACATACAGAATAACACCCAGTGCTCATCCCGTCAAGTGCCTCCCTCAGTGCCCATCACCCAGTCACCCCCACCCCCCGCCCTCCTCCCCTTCCACCACCCCTAGTTCGTTTCCCAGAGTTAGGAGTCTTTATGTTCTGTCTCCCTTTCTGATATTTCCTACCCATTTTTTCTCCCTTCCCTTCTATTCCCTTTCACTATTATTTATATTCCCCAAATGAATGAGAACATATAATGTTTGTCCTTCTCCGATTGACTCATTTCACTCAGCGTAATACCCTCCAGTTCCATCCACGTCGAAGCAAATGGTGGGTATTTGTCATTTCTAATGGCTGAGGAATATTCCGTTGTATACATAGACCACATCTTCTTTATCCATTCATCTTTCGATGGACACCGAGGCTCCTTCCACAGTAGATTGGAGCCTTTTAGAGTGTATGGTAAAAGAGGCCAGTTTACAAAATGATTTCCTAAGTAAAGTTGTCGTGGGCATGAGAGAAGCAACTAGAACTTTGACATGAATCTACTTTGAAGCCTTTGAGCTATACTCAAATCCAGAGAGTTTCTAATTTCATATACATGATTTAATACTTCTTTATGGAAATAAATTATTAGAGAGAAACTGGAAAATCTACAGAAGATATGCTTATAACTACAATTCCCACTTATCGACCTTGGACCAGGCACATATTTCATTTAACCATTGTAACCACCTTAGAAGCCTATTTAACTTCCCTATGATCACGTAGTTAATCAAAGGCAGAGCTGGGACTTCAAGTCTGGTTTGCCTGAACTCAACCTGTATCTAAGCCTGGGGTACTCACACTCACTCTGCCTCGATGTGCTCCAAAGTATCAGCTTTAATGATAATGACAGAAATTTATATTTAATTTAATTTAATTTTCTGTAGAAAGGGATTCTAATTGCTTTTCTCCCACTCTCTGCTGCTGTATGTGCTGCTGCCTTCTGTTGGCAATATTCCTAACTTAACAAAAACAGGGTTTGGGAAGCTTTCATGTGACTCTTCAAAAAACAAATGAGAAAGTGACAAAAGCTCCCAACATGGTGTCCACAGCTCACTTTCCCATTTGGAGACAACTGGTGCCTGCTCATTAGTCATGCCCATTAAGCCTGTGTCCTGGCCCTTTGTCCACCCATGTCAAACCTGCCAGCCATTCCTGGGATTTTTCTATCACCCATCTGTGCTTCTGACCTCTTGTCAATCCCTTAACACTGCAGGCTCTCTTACTGTACTTACCAAGTCTTCTTTGCAGCAAGACACTAATTAGTACATAAGCTCTCAGAGTCTGCTTCCTCAGCATGAGATGAGATGTTTGTGAAGCACAGTCACTGGATTCTCTTAGAGATACATGATTTGACTATTTGTCTTCTCTCTCCCACTAGCATTTAAGGTCTTGTAGAAGCCTGGGTCTTGAAATATCACTCACTGTCTTCTGCACAGTAGCTTCCACTCAGAATTATCTACCAGTAAAGGAAAGAGGGGAGCAGGAAACATAGGCTTCCATCCTAAGTTAGTCAAGGGGTGCTCAGGGACCTTCTCTTCAAGGTACTGGGTCTGTTAGGATGTGATTACTCTAGCTCTTTCCAGTGTTAAAAGCAGGGAATATATTTATGGGTACACATATTTCTATATCAACTGATTCATATATATTTTTAAAATCATGATTCCCTACTGATACCTCTGAGTCCAACACCACAGGGTTCATTCTAGCCTTTCCTCGTATCCTATTTGTAACTGTTTCTCAACTGTGAAAAGCATGGCTCTTCTTACCCACCATATGTTTCCTTATGTGTTTAATTCTGGAATACACATAGAGCAGTTTCAGAATTGCTAATTTACATACCTGTAAACAGCAAATTTGCTAAGACTACCATATTTTTCCATAGTTCCTTTTGTCTTCAGCCTTTCAATATAGAAGCAAGTGCTATTTTCCAAAGTTACTAAGGTTAGTTCTTCCCATCCCTAATTCCTTCAATGTGATTATGTTGTTGTATTTTCTTTTTTATTTATTTTTATTTTTTATTTATTCATGAGAGACACACAGAGAGAGAGAGAGGCAGAGACACAAGCAGAGGGAGAAGCAGGCTCCATACAGGGAGCCCGACATGGGACTTGATCCCCAGTCTCCAGGATCACTCCCTGGGCTGAAGGAGACCCTAAACCGCTGAGCCACCGGGGCTGCCAATATTTTCTTTTCTTTTTATTTTTTTTTAAAGACTTTATTTATTTATTTATTTATGAAAGACACAGAAAGAGAAGCAGAAACACAGACAGAGGGAGAAGCAGGCTCCCTGTGGGGAACCCAATGTGGGACTCAGACCAGGGAATCTGGGATCATGGCCTGAGACAAAGGCAGACACTCAACCACTGAGCCACCCAGGGCCAGCAACAGGGACAAAAATACAAGTCCCTGTTGTATTTTCAATACAGTTAAATACATTTGTTACTCCTTATATTTCAGTTTTGGTTTGATTTTATTTGTTTTTGTGGATCACGTGAAGCATTTTCATGATTCTAAAAGTCAGAATTACACAAATATGAGTACTCAGGTAAGTGTCAACCCCCTCCTTCCCTTGTACCTTCTCCTCAGTCTCCCATTCCTTCAATCCCATCTCCACTCAACTCCTACAGGTACCAATCTCATTATTTCCATGTTTATCCTTTCTGTATTACTCTGTGCATAAATTAGCAGACATGTACTTTCTTATAACCTCTTCCTTCTTACATGAAAGATAGCATGCTATAGATGTTCTTTTGTGCTTTTGTTCTCTTGACAATATTATAGCTGCTGTCTAAGTGATGTGCTTAGATGACAACACCAAGAGTACGAATGTAAATATAGAAGAAAAGAGACCCCAAGAAGAGACTTAGAGCTCCCCTCACCTAAGTGATCAGAAATAAGAGGCGTCAGTATAGAACACTATGAAAGAATGACCATTCAGGTAAAAACAAAACCAAGAAGCACAGTGAAGAAAGTGTGTCAAGGAGGACAACGTGACCAAGTGTGTCAATATTGCTGCTGCCTCAAGGAAGGTTGGAACTGAGACTTGGCCACTGCAAATAACAGCATGGGCACTACCAGTTACCTTGGCATGAGTAGTTCTGACATATTCATGGGAGCAGATGTTACACAGGAGTGAAATAAGAGGATTGTGGGAACTGCCCTGGAAGAGATTCTGGCTCTGACCACCACTGAGGGGAGTAGTTATTCAAGGCAGAGAGGGAAGCACATAATCCACACTGGAAACATCAGCATGGGCTAGACACAAACTTCCTCCTTCCAAAAAAGCAGTAGGGGAAAATGAACTTGAAAGCAGATGCTGACAATTGCATTGCACAGGTCATTTCAAGAAAAGAACTCCAGAGAACTCAGACAGATTTTTGTGTTTCCAGTTTATTCAACAGAAAAGAGATGAACTCACTAGCTTTGGGGCCTGCTCGTACTCATGAATGGTTTATGCATGTCTGAGTAAAAGCAGCTCCTGTTGGGGGACCTACAAGAAAAGACTAGGGTTTTCCCCAGCTTCTGCCTTTAACAAGGCTAAGGCTCCTTGACCCACAGCAGAGTTTCCTGGGTTTTTCTTTCTCTAGAGAGCACTCGTTGGAAGGGTCATTGAGTTGACAGAGGAATCATTTCCTTTTGGGAACACAGGGTTGTCAAAATCAGGAGGAATGTGTCCTGGGGCTAGATGACAGGGCCGGAGGATGGCCTCTTGCTTTTGGCTTCCATCTAAAGATCAACATAACCCAACAGGGGGTCAGTGTTCACCTCAGAAGTCAAATTCTCTCCTCTAAGAATCTTGGTCTGCCCATCAGAAGTGACTTTCATCTTTCCAGAGGGGATAGTCATCATTTCCGGAGCTACTGCCTTCTTTACAAAGGGCTTATCCTTCTTTACAGAGGTCAATAATTGCATGGAAATCATAGTCATTTCTCCAAGGGTCACGGTCTCTCCAACAGTCTCAGTCTTCCCTTCCAGAGCCACAGTGTGCCTTACAAAGGATGCAGTTTTGCTCGTAGGGCTCACAGTCCCACCTCTGTGGCTTGTAGTACTAGTATTTTGAGACTTTCCATGCGTATTAGTAGCTGTAGACTTTCCTCCTAGGAATGAAAACCTCGTATCAGTGATCAATACTTTGGTTATGGTTGGCCTTTCAGGGCCAGTTTTTGGAGAATCCATAGCAGTTGAGAGACAAAATTTTGGAGAAAAGAGTTGAGTTGAACTCTAGAGAAAATAATCAGAACAGGATGAGACTCCTACTGCTTCCTTCCCATCCTATGAATTACTGGCAGGACTACAACCACTCCAGGGCTGAAGTACCTGCTCCCAAAATCCAGAATTGAAGGATTTCATAATACACCCACTTGTGGGCATAGATAAAATCCTACCACATAGAAGCCCTGCTCCCTCACCTCATTGTGTTAACGTGAACCCAGGTACCCATAAGCACTCAGCAGATTTCCTACATTGCTGGTGAATGACCCCAGGGAGCCTGCCAGTTTTCAATGCTTAAAGCCTCACTTAGACCTTACTGATTATACCTTCAGCAAGACCTTGCTGCCCCCACGGCCTAATAACAGAAACCCCCATTGTCCCCTATCATAGAAGGCACCAGCAACAATGCTGAGGGCAAGGAGGCCAACCTCAACAGCATTTTGTAAAGAACTGGGTTGGAGTCCCCTCTCCCCTCCTGACTAGCAGTGTTAGCTTTTAGAGTCCCAGTTTCTTTTTCCATAAAATAATGGTTATAAATATCTCAAAGGAAGTTTCAGCTCTAGCATGCCAGGTTCCATCTCCTATCAGGGCAGTCTCTACTATCAAAGAGATGTCAAAAGAAATCTGACTTCCTCTTCTGGCCCTTGTCCCATGAAAGCAGGAGGAAGCAACAGAGAAATAAACTGACCTATATCAAACACTAACTCTGAGCCAGTAGTTTTCATTCCTTATCTCATTTAGTTCTGTAATAATGTCATGAGTATAAGGATCATTCCCATTTTACAGATAGGGAAACCAAACCTCAGATGGGTCAAATGGAGCATGCCTCTAAACCAAGAAAATGGACTGGCCTGACATCAAAGCTTATTCTCTTACCTTGATGTCATGCTGCTTCACTAAAGCTTGTGGATTGAACAGAAGGTACCCAGCCAGACCCTAGTTATACAACTTCCAACCCCAGTTCCAGGCCATAGCTACTCACCAGCCTGCACCAGGAGACTATGCAGCTTGTGGACCAGGGGGAAAGGCCCAGTGCGACAGAAAGTGCCCTTGGCATCATCCAGGTCCAATGTCCATACCATGGCTCCCCCAAAATGCTCTTCCTTTATGAACATTGCCTGAAAAAGCAGTAGTCAGTCAACCTGCTATGCTGGGCATCCCCAGATTGGGGACAATGTCAAAACACCAAAGATGGACCCTCAGGAAACACGGCAGGAGCAGGACAGCCTGTATTGGAATCTAGCCTTACAACTTACTAGCTGAGTGATCTTGAAACCTTATGTGTCTAGTTGCCTCATATGTAAAAAGGAGATAATAACATTTCTGAAATTTTTAGGGTCCAGAGAATTCCTACATGCGACATGCTACAGAATGGATGGAACTCAAAGACATTACTCTGAGTGAAAGAAGCCAGTCACAAAAGGACAAATACTATATGCTTCCACTCATAGGAGGTACTTGGAGTAGTCACATTCCTATCAATGGAAAGCAGAGCAGTAATTACCAGGGGCTGGAGGAGAGGGGGATGGGGTTTCAGTTTGGGAAGATAAGACAGTTCTAGAGATGGAAGGTGGTGATAGTTACACAACAATATGAACACGCTTAGTGCTACTGAACTGGATGTCTAAAAATGGGTTAAATAGCAAATTCTGTTATGCATATTTTGCCACAACTTTAAAAATGTTTTTTTAAAGAATCCCTACATATAAAACATTTGGAGCAATACCTTGCATGTAGTAAATGTTCATAAATATTAAAAACTATCTCACCAAGATCTCAATGATAATCACCCCGATAAGCATTCTAAATCATAGATATTGCTATGTTACTTTAAAATCACTTCCACATAAACCACATCTTCTTTCGAAAGAAGATGTGGTCTATGTATACAATGGAATATTCCTCAGCCATTAGAAATGACAAATACCCACCATTTGCTTCGATGTGGATGGAACTGGAGGGTATTATGCTGAGTGAAGTAAGTCAATCGGAGAAGGACAAACATTTTATGTTCTCATTCATATGGGGAATATAAAAAATAGTGAAAGGGAATAAAGGAGAAAGGAGAAAAAATGAGTGGGAAATATCAGAAAGGGAGACAGAACATGAAAGACTCCTAACTCCGGGAAACGAACTAGGGGTGGTAGAAGGGGAGGTGGGTGGGGGGTGGGGGTGACTGGGTGACGGGCACTGAGGTGGGCACTTGATGGGATGAGTACTGGGTATTATTCTATATGTTGGCAAATTGAACACCAATAAAAAATAAATTTATAGAAAAATAAAAAATAAAATAAAATCACTTCCACAGGGGCGTCTGGGTGGCTCAGTGGTTGAGCATCTGCCTTTGGCTCAGGGCATGATCCAAGGGTCCTGGAATCCAGTCCCGCATCAGGGTCATGCAGGGAGCCTGTTTCTCCCTCTGCCTGTGTCTCGGCCTCTCTCCATGTGTCTTTCATGAATTAATAAATAAATAAAATCTTAAAAAATAAAATAAAATCACTTCCACATACCTTATCTCACAGTGACACTACAAAGAAGAGAGAAATCATTTTCACAGATAAGAAAACAAAGGCTTTGGTCCATGATTTTTAAAACCTCAGATATAACTAAATGGCAGGGTTTAGACTCAAGTCCTGGTCCTATTACTACTATGCTCATATTCTCTGTCATGGTTGATGGAAAAGATAGACATCACACCCAAATAGCTGCAAGACTTAGCCAAATCAGTTGGCTACTTTCTGGGATTTATTTTCCCCAAATGTGATATAAAAGGAAGGAGGGACCCAATTAGATCAGCTGAAACTGTGAAGATCCTGAGTTTTTATCCTGCATATACTAACAGGTTAGCCTTCCAGTTTTATGTGTACATATGCACACACACATGCACACATGTGCACATGGTCTCTGGGTCAGAGAATAGACCATTACTCACAGCAACAGAACAGTCAAAATGGCACCTTGACTTCAGTCCCCATGTTCCAGTTGCCCAGTTGCCCATGTCATCCAACATGGTGAAAGCCAGACAGTCACTCACACGTGCATCAAGGTCTGCAGTACAGGAGAAGGATCCTAAAATCATGAGACTTGAGCTTATCTAGAACAGCTGGCAAATCAGACCCTTATCCTCTCCAGAGACATTAGGAGCTTCACTGGAATGTAGACAAATCCTCCCTGGGAAGGGGACCTGTTCAATCTCTGAAAGTCAGCAAAGGCTCTGGAGGAGGAGGAAAGGCTGCTTACTACTTTTATTGGAGCTGGTCTGCTTCCTTTGCTCAGAATGCCCAGCCAGTGCAGGAACACTGAGAAATCCAGGGAAAATTATCTGTATCACCTACAGTAGGGGAGACTATGATATCTATCTAATAAGCCTGATATTCTTGCAGTTTCCAAGTCCTGAAAATTTCTCATTCAAAAACTACCTACTCTTCCAATCACTTAGTCCAGACTCTCATTATCTTACCTGCATACCTTGTGCTCCTCAGAGCTTCTAAAATGCCAAAGTGATTACAGCAGGACCATATGGGGACACACTAAAAACAATTTCCAGATTCTTTCTGAGACCTGCTGAATATTCAGGGGCGGATCCCAGACCTACATTTATCAAGTCTCAGGTGATTCCAGAGCAGAGGAAGTTTCAGAAATCACGAAAGTATGTCATTTCTGGTTTAATTCATTATAGAGCTCTGCCCCACTCAACTTCATTCGACATTGCTTGCACCAGACGACGTGGTGGTCACACTTAGGTTCTAAAGTTTTCAAACTTGCAGGTCATATGCTTGCTCAGAAACCTGATTTTGCCTTAAAATGCCTGCACGAAGAGGACCAAACACCTTCACCAGTATTCAAGTCCCTCTATAAACCAGTGTGTAGGGATCCCTGGGTGGCGCAGCGGTTTGGCGCCTGCCTTTGGCCCTGGGCGCGATCCTGGAGACCCGGGATCAAATCCCACGTCGGGCTCCCGGTGCATGGAGCCTGCTTCTCCCTCTGCCTATGTCTCTGCGCCTCTTTCTCTCTCTCTGTGACTATCATAAATAAATAAAAATTAAAAAAAAATAAATAAACCAGTGTGCATTTGACCGCCTTCTCTTATACTTGACAGAAATTCTCTACCTCATCCAAATTCTTCTTTGAACCTACTTTGAATGGGCTTTCAGTACCCACACTGAGCCTGTCCACATGTCATTACCTCCTCCTGCTGCTCACCTACCTCAGGAAGCCCTCCCTGAGTTTCTACCCCAACACATATCAGTGATATTCATGGAACACTTAGCAGGATCTACCTCATATTGATATTTATCTGTTACAAAGTTATCTGGTCCAAACAGAAAGGAAGAAACTGTTGCCAAAAATTTGTGTAAACTGAGAGAAATAATTTCTACCCTCAACACTGAGATTTCTTCTCTTCAAAAGGAGAGGGTTAGTTGGATTGATGGAATTAGGAGACCCCAGGTAGGTCAGGTATGCCTGAGATTCACCTGATTTAATCAACCTCACCTTTTTATCCTCCACATGCACACACACACATGCACACACACCCACCCATACACACACAGACTGTACAGGTAAAAGTCTCATGAAGCCAGAAGGAAATTATATGCTACAGCAAGAAAGAACCAAGGTCTTACCTTGGAACTGAAGCTGTTGGCATCATCATAGCCAACCCATACCTTCCCCTTGTAGGCATATGGGACCTGCTGAAAATCAATCCAGCGCTTTGTCGCTCTCTGGAGAAAGGAGCAAATCTGCCAGGAGGATCACCAGGTTAGTTCTGAGAAGTGCCACAGAGTGAAACACCAGCAGGCACATGGCTCTTTTCCAGGTGGTAAAGAATCCAAGGATCCCTCACCAGGGAGTGAGAAGAGGCAGACCAAAGAGGGAGAGGAAAGTTACTCACAATGGACCTTCTCTTTTTCCTGAACAAATTTCTACTAGAACAGTTCCTTTCTCTAATGTCCATAATACAAAGAGAGAACCAAGGAGTGGCTGACATCCTTAGAAACCAAACCAGGCTTTGCTAAATAATGCCAATACCACACTACTAACTGTAACCTATCTGACATCCTTAGAAACCAAACCAGGCTTTGCTAAATAATGCCAATACCACACTACTAACTGTAACCTATCTGACCTCAGCCAAACCTGTATCTTATCCAAAGAATTACCATAAGCAAACCTTTCCTTTCTTCATTAGAAATCAGCATGAAGGTCCCAGTCTTGGTAATTATCCAACTAGCATGCAAACCTCTAATAAACTTAAAGTTCTCAAAGGTATGGAGAACTGGATTGTTACAATCACTTGAGCATCTGAGTGTCTACTGGGTGCCTGGCCTTGTGCTGGAAACTGTATACCATAAAGAGGTAGAAGCATTCAGGCCAGTTGCAGAATCTGTCTGAGGCCTTTTCTTTTCTCTTCTTTTCATTTTCCTTTTTTTTTCTTTGTTCCTTAAAGGTTCTAGCAGTATCTCTTTGGCCTGTAATGTCCTTCAAGAACATTATCTCAACTACACCATCACTCCTAACCATGCCTCACAGGATTAGCAGGAAAACATCTCCAGCCAGCCAGCACAGAGCAGAGACTAGGTACCTCTGCTCCTACCTCCGCACAGAGCAGAGACACTGTACCTCTGCTCCTACCTACAGCACCCACGTACACTGTGTGCCTCAGGACCTGTTGTCCTCTGCCTGCAAGGCCCTTCCCTTCCCTTGCTCCTGCCCATCAGGATTATTCTTGTGTTCCGGAGCTCTACTCTAAAGCTACCTGCTCCATGAAACCTTTCCACACCCCCTACACTTCTTATATCCCCTTGGATCCATGTCTCTTTCCTCCACTCAGTAGCAAGCTTCATTGAGATGGAGAATAAGAGAATGGAATTAGGGTAAGAAAAAAGAATCTGTAGTAGGGAATGTCTTGGAATTGCTTCAAAATAACCTAGTAGTGGGAAGAAGGGAGGGGAGTCAGGGGGTGAAGATGAAACAAGATTGTCTAGGAGTAGTTAGTGACAGAAGCTGGTGAGGGATGGGTGGGTGGTAGTGGGGGAAAGGAAGAAGAGCTTATACTATTCTTATACTTTTGCAAATGTTTGAAATTATATATATTTCAACTATTAGTTATTTTTATTTAGGCCAGAGAGTAGTAAATCAGGACTGACTTGTATAACAGTTAAGATTCTTTTGAGGAGTCCCCTTCCACTTAGACTCCACCCAGCCCATCATCCCTTACAAAAGACTCAAATAATTTCCCCTGAAGAAAAAGCAAACATCTCAGATAGTGAATTTCTCTTGCTCTAGTAAACTTCTTCTTTGTCCTGTCTCCAGAGACCTCATCCTTGCCTCTGCCCAGTTGTCCTTGCTCTTCCCCCAGGAGAGGATGTAGAAGCCCTAACTAATAGACAGAGGTCCCTATTTCTGTCACCTCATAATAAGCCAAGAAACCAGGGTGCTTGGTGTACATTCCTGGAGATGCGGGTCCCACAGCTTTGGCCTGCAGCCCATTCTTAGAGGCTTTAAGGAGGTGATAGGTACGTCCATAGGTGGGGAATCCCATGAGGAGCTTCTCTGGGGGTGCCCCCAGCTTTCGCCAGTAATTCATGGCATATGCCTGCAGGAAGAGCACAAACCCCTCCGTGTTGCTGAGGCCCACTGGCCTGGGCTCAGGGTAGTGTCTGGGCCCCTTGAGATCTTTCCTTACCGAAGAGCTGGGGTCTCCAGGCAGAGAGAACAGGGGGCTGTTGTGTCCTGTGAACTTTTCCCAGCTTCCATGAAAGTCATAAGACAAGACATTGATAAAATCCAGGAGTCTGCAAGGGCAGGAGGAGGAGATACACAGATTAGGCTAACTAGATTTTCAAGTCAGGTCACCAGAGGACTAACTGGCTAACCAGTGGTGCACTACCCACCCAAATTTCCCTCCCATTTCAGCCCAGCCTGCCTGCCCCTCTGTGCCATCTACTTTGCTGCCACCACAGCAAACTCTTAGTTAGGGACCACCGTGCGTTAGGACCCATGCCATCTTGAGAGCTTCCATGGAAGGAGGCAAGAGCCAGACAAGAAAATACATTCATGGGGTACATGGGTGGCTCAATTGTTTGAGCGTCTGCCTTCAGCTCAGGTCATGATCTCAGGGTCCTAAGATCAAGCCCTGTAATGGGCTTTGCCCTCAGTGGGGAGTCTGCTTCTCCTTCCTCCCTCTGCCCCACCCCCAACTTGTGCTTTCTCTTTCTCAAATAAAAATCTTAAAAAAAAATTTTTGGGATCCCTGGGTGGCGCAGTGGTTTAGCGCCTGCCTTTGGCTCAGGGCGCTATCCTGGAGACCCGGGATCGAATCCCACGTCAGGCTCCCGGTGCATGGAGCCTGCTTCTCCCTCTGCCTGTGTCTCTGCCTCTCTCTCTCTCTCTCTCTCTCTCTCTCTCTCTCTCTGTGACTATCATAAATAAAACTAAAAAAAAAAATTTAAAAAAAAGATTATAAAAAAAAAATTTTTTTTAAAGAAACAATTTATTCATGGGATTCATGGTATCCCTGGGTGGCTGAGCAGTTTACCACCTGGCTTTGGCCCAGGGCATGATCCTGGGGTCCCAGGATCGAGATGCACGTCAGGCTCCCTGCATGGAGCCTGCTTCTCCCTCTGCCTGTGTCTCTGCCTCTCTTTCTCTCTGTGTCTCTCATGAATAAATACACAAAAATCTTAAAAAAAAAAAACAAGAAACACATTTATGCCTGACATAAGTGCTAACAGAGGTTGCATAAATTGTCGTGAAGAAGGCAGTACTGCCCCACAGCACCCAAAGAGCTTCTGTCCTTCCACCATTCAAGGCACCAATGAAACCATGTCTTCCAGAACACTTTCAGAATGAATAAGTGTAAGTAAGCACTTCCCGGGTCACAGGCATAAAGGTGTACAAGGATTCCACCATTTAATTTTAATCTGGTACCATTTTAGAGCTGAAGACATTGGGCCTCTGACAGGCTCACTAACTTGCCTAAGGTCACCCAGCTGGGTGATGGCCAGACTCCCTCAATCTTGCCTGGCTATCAAGACCAGTGCTGACAAACTCTAGGCCCCATGGGGTATCTCCCCTGTGCCCCACACTGAAACCAGGCTCCCTGGTGTAATCACACAGAAACACCCCATCTTCTCTTTTGTTCTGCATGGAGCCTGAGGTCCTCATTTGTAAATACTCAATTTCTGAGGTTTGAGGGAATTAGCCCAGAGCTGGCATGTCCAGAAAGAGTGAGTTAGGAGCTATTCTTTGTAACTTTTGCACAGAGACCCATGCTTGGATAGCTGGGCCGGCCTGGGCATTCCTATTTTTGTTTTTTTGGCAGTGGTTGATTACTCATCTACTTCTCTGATGCCAGCCACATGCTGCACAATGTTTGTCTACAGCTATCCCCTGGGGCAGCAGAGGCCAGGCCTGTGGTGCACTTTCCCGTGAGACCCAGCAAAGGGCTTTGCGGAACACCCTACCCGAGATGATGGGGCTGTGAGGACTGGTTCTACACCTCCCTCTGATCTCCTAGAGAAAGCCTAGGCTATGTGGAACTAACCCTTGTCCCCACCCACACTCCTCACCTGGCACCCTTACATGGAGAGCTCACAGGCAATGCTTAGGCAGTGCTGTGGTTCTGAGCGTGATCTGCTCCCTCCCCTCCAACATCCTGTCCCATCAGGCAGACCCACTCACTTTCCTAGAAGGTGCACATCATAAGCTATTTGTATGATGTGTGGGTCCCCAGAGACAGCAGCAGAGAGCAGCAGCCTTGGACGCATGTCAAGCTTCACCTCATTCTGGAAGGCAGATAGGAGCTCCTGCCAAGAAAGAGGTAGATGCTGAGACACAGACCAAACAGTCAGGGAACGAAAGGATCATCCAGGAAAGCTTTATTTACGGAGCTCAAGCCAGGCTCTGAGGACACGGAGGCCCTGCCCCCAGGCTCCTGAAGAGATGGTCTTGAGCCAATGTGGTAAGTGAATGGAGGGGTCAGGGGTGGCAGGCAAGGTCAGGAGCACAAGTTGCAGACTGCCTGCCTGGGGGCGGCCAGGACCTTGTGCAGAGGAGGTGTCACTTGGGCCACAGGGCTGGAGCAGGACCTGGATGTGAAGAAAGAGATACCACAAGACTCCTGCTCTTTTGCCTGACACTTCTAGTTTGATGGCAGTAAAAGAACATTCTGCTCTTCTTATGCCATGAGCCCAGATATGATTTTAAAAAACAGAATCACTGCAGGGTCCTGGTACTGTGAAACTTGGCCTTACTTTGATTAAGAGGAGAAAAGTCCGCCGATCACTCATGGGGCTGCCTCTTAGTCCAGGGTACAAGAAGAAGAGGTCCAGACCATCAAAATTATATGTCCTCAGTAACAATATAACTGAATTGATAAACTTTTTCCGGTTGGATAATGTGGACAGCATAGTGGTGAACCTGCAGGAGACCCCGGGTGAGGCAAGGAAGGAAGTGAGGCAAGGTCTGTGGTTCCTGCAGAACCACAACCTCCACACAACCCCTGGGTTTGTGCCCTATGGAGGGCACACAGGTATGGCCGGAGGAAAGGAGGGCAGGCCTTGGAATCCCTCAACCCTTCTTAGAAGCCCCTCCCAGCAATGGGGACCGGGATTGGGGAATTCAAGCAGCAGGGAGGGGCTGCAGAGTCTCACTTGGATGTGCCAAAGTCCCAGCCACCGATGGACAGCAGTGTTCTCAGCTCCCTATTCCTATGATGTGAGATAGAGGGAGATGAGCTGGTCTCCATTCCAGTGGGTCCCTGGGGAACAGTGGAAAGTGTGGGGGAGGAGAGAAGTGAAAGGGGAAGGCAGGTGGAGGGAGGAAGAGAGAAGAGCAGAGCAAAATACCTGGAATAAAAGAAAGGAAAAGAGGGTCTAGTAATCAAGCCATGGATCATCACAACCTGGGACCCACTCCCCCCACCAGCTGTCCAGAGTCCACAAAACTCCCCTACATCCCTGTGATGCTCCCATGTAGAGGAAAAGAGAGAAGTAATCTAAAATATTTCTTTTCACTGTTTTCTTAGTTGACAAATATTGAGCAATTACTGCATGCCATTGACTGCTTTAGGTGCTTGACTGAGATAAAACAGAGAGCGAGACAGACAAGCTCCTTGCTCTCAGGGAGCTTGTGTTCTAATGACAAGGATTTTTACCTTGGCCATTTATAACCACTAAGTAATGGCAGACCTCCCCTTGGACAGGGAGAGAACCCAGGAGTTCTGGCATCAGGAATATCTAAGCAAGCACTTACTGAGCACCAATTGTGTGCAAAGCATTCACCTAGCCACTGGTGTACAAACATATTAGAGACCCTGCTCCTTCCCTTGCGGGGCTCATTGCCTGGGGGATGCAGGTGACAAATGGTGATAAAGACACTAGCAGTTGTGATATGCAGGCTCTCCTTGAAGCATTCTAACAGCATTAGTACATGAACTCCACCCCCCACTGGCTTGAAGGGTAAGTTGAGGATTGCCAGGCAGAGGCAACAAAGACCTCACAAGGGCAAGGAGGCAAGAATGAGCTCAGAGTATTATTCAATGGGGAGTTCTCAGGCAGGGATGCTCCCGAGGAACCTCGGGAGGAGGTTAGGGCCAGAAGAATCAGAAGAAAGTTGATGAGTAACAAGAGAAATAGGATTAATTTTCTTCTGTCTGTAAAATCTGAAAATACGATCCCCACATGCAGTATGAACACACCTCTCCTTGAGCTTGTTGAACTCTGGGTAGACAATTTTCCCTTTCTGGGAAGTCATAGCAACAATCTGATTGTTTTCCATGGTGGCAAAGGCAAAGATCAGGTGGGTGCAGAGAAAGGGGTCCAGGTCATGGGGCAAGACGGAGGCAGGCCCAGGGCGACTCTGTGCCCAGCTGGCAAAATAACACACCAGTTTGTGGGCTGCGCCTGGCAAGGGAGAACACAGGTCAGCTAGCACAAACCAAGGGAGGAGTTGGAGCTCAGCTTCCACAGACAGCTGTGAACACAGCCCAGGTGGCCAGGCCACCGTAACATCCCCCTTACAAACACAGCCCAAAGCTACAGAGGTCTGGTCCCCCCTCTGCCCCTACTGCCAACACCCCAGAGGGAAAAGAATGCCTTCTGGAATCCTGATCAGAATGGATCCTCAACTCTCGATCATGGCACACAGAGTGACACAGGGCACACATGACTGAAAATCCTCCGCTGAACTGCAGCAGATCAATGATCCCTGACACAGGAGCAGGGCAGGGAGGAGCTGCAGGAGGTACTCAACACAGAGTGCGTCCCAGCCAAAGAGGGCTCTCCCTGGCTCTGGGGAGGAGGATGCAATTTCCTTACCATCATGGTGTTTCAGCACAAGAAGCAGCCCTGCAGGAAACACAGGATGGAGTCACACTCAGATTCACATGCACACCCAGAGTGACGTGCCCCAGCCCCCCTCCAGTTCACCGGTGCACCAGCCAACTGAGCCCCATAGCCAGACACAGACGCACAAATGGAGACACGCTCTGTTCACTTGTTTCCTCTTTTCTAAGTGGAGCCAGTAGAGCCAGATCTATCGAGGCTCCTATTCACCCCAACAAACACCATATGGATACACACATGGTTATCACTGGGACAAGATAACATAGAAGTTCTAGCAAAAGCTCTAGGCCAGTGGTTCTCACCCCGGCAACAAGTATAACAAGTAGTGATGTTCTGGCTCCTCCCCTAGAGATTCTGACTTCACTGGTCCAAGGTGGAACTGGGAATAAAGATATTTAATGGGCAGCTGGATTTGAGGACCACTGCTCAGATCACTCCTGCCTGAGCCTCTCCGGTCCTTCACTATGTCCCATCCTACCTCCACCTAATCCAACCCTGCTGCTTCTCAGGTACTCGAGAGGTGACAAACTTTGGAAGCCTGGTATTGTGGGGGCTGGGACCTGCCACACTCACCGACCCACAGCAACAGCCTGCCCATCTCAAAGGTCTGAGAGCTGCAAGGCTAGGGCTCGAGCCTCTTTATAGGAGCTTCCCTGGGCACAGCCCTGGGACATTGCTGGCAGAGCCCAGACAGACACAAAAGCCGGGTCAGTGATTAATGGGCCCGAGTCACAGTGACCCTAGCACCTCCCATCCTCCCTCTCCAGCAGAGCTGAAGCTTTCAGAGCCAACAAAGAAATAGCTTGATCTGATACTGGCACACGGTGGATGTCGCCAAGGGCCATGGTGAGGGCAGGGCAGTGCTCAGCTCTATTCCTGGTATTTGCCTCCCATGGACTATGAAGAGTAAATCCTGTATGGAGGCAGTAATTCCACTGTTATCAGACTATTGGTTAGGGAAGCAGTGTAATATAAAGGATAGAAGTTCCAGCTTTGGACCTAGACAGGCTAAGGTTTTAATCTCAGTGTCATCAGTTAGAAGTTTTGTAATTGTGGGCGTTACTTAGATCTTTGAGCTGCAGCTTCCGTACTTGTAGAGAGAACAGCTCATACTCACCTCATAAGATTTTATAGAAATTGAAAAGATAATGTATGAAAAATGGTTAGTTCAGGACTTTGTGTGTCATACGGGCTCAGTAAATAGTAGCTGTTACTAAGGACGCCAATAGAGTTGCCCCACAGAGTGAGGTTCTCAAACTCACGTGCTGACACTTGCCAGGCAGGTAACGTTCAGGTAACATAAGTGAGTGAAGTGGACACAGTGGAATAGCTCACTCTCCACTTTATTAGAAGAATAGTTCAAGCCCAGTGATAGACACCAACTAACACGAAGCCTCTTGGTCAGGAGACAACAGAGCAGGGACTGCACTCCAAGTAGTCACCAATGGCTGCCATGTAGTGGAATAGACCTCATATTGGAAGATGTCTCAACTTCTCAAGAGAAGACAAAAATCTGATTTTTTGTGGGAGTCGAGAATGTTTGAGCCAGTATATGAATGAGCCAGGGCTAGAATGTGTTATGAACCTAAGGAACATAAGGAGTATAATTCTGGATACCTGAGGGCCAATATTTTAAAAATACAATATGAAGAATAAACAAAATAGATCCGTAGCCAGATGCTTTTATGTTCCATCAATGTTCTTTTTCTGCTACAGAGGATCTCAGATCATGAGTAGGTCCCACATTTCAGGGGTTGAGTCTCAATCATGAAGGACTAGAAACTGGGTGCCCATCTTCTCAGAAGACTGAGAGCTCACCTAGTCCACTTGACACTGAGGGACTAACCAGATGTCAATATAATAAATGACACGGGGAAGTATAATGACTAGTGGTGGAATTTACATCACTTCCAGTATGAAGAAATCATAAAAGTCGTTTTTTTAATCAGATTGCTGTGATATCATGTGATAAAAGCATTAAATGGTATAGAATGGTTACACAAAGGATATTTCAGTAAAACCCTAGGCAAGCCCGATGGAACACCCCGCCTAAAAATACTGTTCCATTTGTTCATCCATCTTTGCTTCCTTTAAGTACTAAATGAGTATTTGTTGAGCATATGCCAGGCCCTGCTGGGCACTCTAGATACAACGGTGAGCAAGACGTTGTTTCTGCTCTCAGGGAGCTTCTAGTGAACAGACTGATCATATACTCAAGAGCTAGTGTATGTGTCCCTCCTGGAGAAGTATGTGTCTCTCATCTCTCCTGGATAGGGGCAGTGGGGAAAATAGGATTTTTGCTGCTAAACAGACTTGAGATCCAACTCTTACTGTGCACCAATCCTGGGACCACTTGAGTCCTACTTGCACGCCCAGTGTCACATTCCATTCCTTGGGCTAAGAGTACCTTGCATCAGGAGACGATCAAGCAAGCCTCTTGAGCAACAATGGGTCAGGCTGGGCAACAACTTGTGCCACTGGTTACATTTCCCCTGGTCTGGTTTCTAACACTAATGCCTGTGCTCTTAGTGGGGTTTTCCAATTCCTAGCCTGAGTCACCTAATTGTTAACAGGTCTTTGCATTAATTTCTCTTCCTGTTCTGTAAACTATAGGCACTACAGTTGTTCCCCACAGCCTGGGTCCTGATTCAGTCGTGCCAGTCACCTGGAGCCCTTGTTGCCTATCTTTTAAGACCCCCTTGAAGTGAATGCCTGCCTCTCTTGACTCATAAGCTTCCCCTCATGCTGCCTCCTGTCCCCCAGATTCCATATCACTGAGATTTCCCACTAGGTTTGTGCCCTTCCATCCCAACTCCTGCCCAGCACTAGTTCTTTTTTTTTCAATTTTAGAATAATTTTATTTCTCTGTTAAATGTACATTGGATTTTAAGATAGCCCTAACATCGGAAACATTAAAATATGAAAGAAATATACATTTTAGAATTGAGACAATATAGCAAATGGCCCCTAGATTAAAAGGGTCCTGTGCCCCCAACAAATCTGGAAAATACTCCATACTCTGTCTTCAGAAAGATTCCAAATGCACCCCTCTGTGTACTATACTTCTGGAAACTCTAGTGGTAAACAAATATGATATTGATTAGCTTAGAATTTTTCTACTTCTTGGCCTTGTAATTCTTTTCCTGTTGAGCTTGTTGTAAGAAAAAATTCTCTGGACTCCATTTTGGGAAATGCTGGATTAGGGCAGATTTTGTCTGCATTGACACAGCTAACAGAATGTGTGATGCTGGAATGAGAGAAGCTTTCCATTGTTTTGCGTGAAAATACATTATCACATTGACCTTTAACAAAAAAAAATTGCCCATTTTCAGATTATGAAAACTTGATAATCCTTATTTTCACATTATGTAACTCAGTTACAGTTGAACAACTTGTTCAAGCCACATACCTCAATGATGCAACTAGGTTTTTAATACCAGAGACTGCACTCTTGATATATATATATATATATATTTCATATATGTGAGATTCATGGCCAGCACTAGTTCTTAATACTGTCCCCAGCACAGAGTTAAAGTTGCTTGTCAGTCTGAACCGTCATCTGCACCTGGGTCAGTCCTCTGGCATCCTACTTTGCTACAGTGGGTAAGGCTGGATCTCAGACCTAACCATTCCATTCCATGCCCTGGGATGATGGAAGATAAAGAGAACACCACGATATAACAATAGATGCCTAGGAGTGACCTCTGCTTCGGTCAGTGATGACCATGCCAAGGATGGCAACTGTGACTCCATGTGTATAGCAGATGATGAATAGTAAATGCTGAATGAGGGTTATGTTCAAAGTCATTTTGCCAGGTCACTCTGTTTGCTCTCAACCCTGGAGCTCTCAGTGTCAGAAAATACAACTATTGTTTTATATTTTACACACCCACCCAGATATTTGAAAATACTCCTCCCTAGTGCTTAGCTTGTTCTCATGAGAAGACATTTACAAATGTCTTTTATTTGGCTTCCTGAAGAAGTGGCCTACAGTAGTGCACCCCTTGCTGTATTTTACAATACTCAACTAGATGGCAAGATCAGAGTTGAAATACTTTGGTTTTAACAAAGCATTCGGCCAAATCTTTCATGATACTCATGTGCAAATTGGACAAGTATGACCTAAACAAAATCAATTGGTTGAATCCAGAGTCCAAAGACAGTTGACTACAGATTGGTAAAACTTGAAAGATCTTTACCCATTTTAATCTTTAAAATGAATAGGGGCAGCTGGCTGGCTCAGTAGGTAGAATGTGAGACTCTTGACCTCAGGGTTGTAAATTCAAGGTCCACGTGTGGTGTGCAGTTTACTTAAAATAAATCTTTTAAAAAAACCAAATGGGATAGATATGGCAGTTTCCCAATATTTGATATGTGACAATTTTTGGTTGTGCAGGATTTAAAATTAATGTGTATTGAAAAGTGTATAATATCCCTACAACCCTAATTTCATATTGTTTAAAAAATGAGACAATTCAAGAAAGAATTATTTTAATAAATAAAGGTAGTACTATTTGCTTATTTTGCTGCTATGATGTGATGGTAAATCAAGTAATGCCTATGTGCCCATGGCCAATTCCTACCTGGTATGGTGATTTTGATCAATTTGCAAATGTCTTGGTGGCATAGATGTAATTACTCTCATTGGCACAGATCTGAATCCAAACCAACTTTTTTTTTTTTTTAACAGTAAGATAATGTGAGTTTTCAAAAACTAGGTTTTTCCTCTTTGCTGTCATTTTAACCACCTTGATACAGACATTTCCTTGGGTTCTCACTTCACTGCTTTCTTCTCCATCATTCAAGTGCAAGAGGAAAAGGACTGGGCAAATTTAGTTCCTACCCACCCCATCCCTTCTCACTTTCTCTAAGCCATTACAACTTTGTGAAGTTTATCTCTGTGAAGAACTTAAGCATTTCTACCTACCCACCCCTATTAACCTCTAAGAAGTTACTGTTAAGAACAGTGAAGGCTTTCTTCCCACCTTACCCCAAACCCAGTAATCACATGACTACAAATTCCAATGTTTTTACTTGGGGTCATTGTGACAACAGAGCTCATGTCTGGCAAGGGTGAAGCATGGAAGCTTTACTTAAAATATTCTGTCCATATTCCTTCAAACTGCCCAGTTTCATGTGACTGCAGCTGAGCTAAACTTGCAAAGCACCAAAGTACATAATTGATTGTATTTCATAATCAATAACTGACCAGGACTTCTGGCAATAGCCAGTCCACCAACCCAAGTAACCCAATATTTAAATTCCATCTAGCTACTCTTAAGGGGCTAGGGAAGCACACACACAAATCCTGGGCCATGATTGATACCCAGATGCCTCACATAGTGAGATATGTCTAACTGCACATAACACACCCTTCAAAAGACAAGCCAACAAAGCCTAAGCTTTTTATCTCACCAAAAAGTATTTTTGATTTTCTGATGCTGCACTTTATAAAATCTTCAGAGTCCACAGAAACAGCATTCAGACTTCCTATGTCCAGAGAATGGGATCCAGAGGCCAGGAGAGTCAGGCCTCAAGCTGTTTTTCAGTGGGAAACATGGCTGACATTTTTCTGCAAGTCTGTGCCAGTTTTTAACTTAACTGAATTTTAAGCTCTCCATCATCCCAACTTTTTTCCATGGTATCTATGACACTCATCTTTCATATATACAATTCCATGGGCAGGGGGTGGAGGGGGAGCATTACCCAGGCACCAGGCAAAATTTTGAAAAACCAGAAAAATGCATTTTTGACTTTGTTTAATGGCAAAGAGATGTGCAAAACTATGATGAGTGTCCTGACTCTTCCTTGAGGTAAGCTAAGCAGGATTTTTGTGAATGGAAGTATGCCATGAGAAAGGCAGATTAAGTTCTATAAAAAATAAAGTTGCTCCCGTCTCCATGAGTAGTATATATAGCTGCCTCCAAGAATCCAGGGATGCCCACATCCCATACCTCATCCAGTCACGGCCAATTTCTCATGCACAGCTACATAGGAAGCATAAAACCCTTTTGTGAACTTTTTTTTTTGTTTTTGTTTCTGGTAGGGGGGAGAGCTTGGGAAAGATGTAAGATGGACTTAATTCCCTCCCACCACCAAAAACTATGTATCTACACACACACACACTCAGACATACCTACATATCCAATTTTAAGAATGTTTTTCTTCCCTATGACTACAGGATCCCAGAATTCAGTCTCCCTCAGGCTGAGAGACAATGCCTATTAACTGCCCAGATCTGTGCTCACTGTAAGGCTCCTGTGTGGTCTCACAGGCTGACAGGGCAGGGGCAAAGGGAGTGGATACTCATGGGGGATTTGCTTTTTGTCTTAAATCCAATCTATTCAGAAATACTCTTAGGTCCAAGGGCTGCAAGAGGCTCTGTGGGCAGGATGTGGTGGATGACCTGATGGTCCCAGCCCACTGTGGTAAGGAGAGAGTGATTGAGCGGGGACCACGTAGCGTCTCTCACAAAGTCTCTGTGGGCTTGGCTTCTAAACCTAAAAGAGAAAAAAGGAAAGTTTGGACATGGTGAGAGACAAGAGGAAAAAGCAAAGGTGGACAGGAGAGAGAATCCAACACAACCAGGACACCTTTCTAGATGTGTTACATGAACTTCACCAAATGCATGGCAATGCGGTTATCCACAGAGAACCTCATCTTTTACTCAGTCCCGTGCCCTAATTCCATATAAAAGTGGTGGCTAGAGAAGGGTAGTAACATGGGCCAGGATCAGAGAGCAAATCCAAGCGAAGAAGGAAGTATAATTCCAGTACTCTGCTGCCTTTCACACCACAGCAGGCCCATTTTATGGATGTGCCTTGTATGTGAAGAGGGCAGACTGCTCCTTTCTGGGGGATAGCTGGAACACCAGGCTGGGAAATCCCACCTGCCACCACACCCCACCTTGACCAGGGACAGAGCTGGTTGTGAGTCAGCCCCAGGAAGAGGGAGACAGTCAGTGTCAGCCTGCTGCCATCACCTAGTCCCCTTGAGTGAGACAGTGCACTCGGTGTACTTTAATGAAAACAGAAAGGATACAGCCACCCTCAGCTCTTCTCCTCAATTCCTGATGACTTACACCTCAGAAAGCCCTGAGTCCAGCACAGCGAGTGAGCAGTCCTCACTGATAGTGGCCAGGAAGGGAATTCTAGGAGAGCAAGGGGAGGGTTATGACAGGTAAAGTCATGGTCCCAAGATGAATCCTGTCCAGTTTAGTCCCCAACCCACACCCTAAAGCGACCTAGAGGAGGTGTCTTGCTCCTCACTTTGGGTTAAGGTCTGGCTACCACTCAAGTCCACATTACAAGTTCCAGGGAAAGATGAGGGAAATGCAACAAAGCCAGGTTGACAATCATCCTGGCAACTAACTACCCCATCTGGTCCCTCCTTGCAGCTTTAGCAATAACCCAGAAACACAGTTTTCCCACCCAGAGTCTCCATAGCCCACAGTATTCATCTTTTTGGGTGTTGAGCAGGAACAAGACCATTGTTCAGCCATGTGCAGACAGAAACCACATCACCCACGAAAGGATTATGGTCTTTTTTTTTTTTTTTCTTTAGGACTATAGTCTTAAGAGATCTTTAGCATTCTGAAACCTCAGCTATGGCACTGTCTGCTTTAGGAATGATCTATCTGCTAATGCTCTGCAAACATAAGCAGACCCCTGCACTGTCCCATTCATATCCAGCAGGCCCTTGGGGACAAAGGACAGTACCTGTGTGGGGAAAACACCAGCCCAGTGACACATGAGTGCACAGCTGAGCTGAGGGCACACCTTGCACTCTTGGTGTCCACCAGGGAGACAGTCCCACTCTCAACACCTAGAGAAAGCAGGGAGCCCATCGCAGTGGATAAGAACATGGGTCCTGGAGTCAGCCAGACCTGGATTTGAATGCTAGTCCCTCAGACTTACACAAGGTAACCACTCTGTGCATCAGTTTCTTCTTTTGCAAAATGAGGATAATTAGTCACTGGTGGTTGTGAAAATTAATGAACGAGGTAGTTATTATTTTAACCACAAACTATGTCATCACAGGTACAGCCTCATCGCTGTGAGGGCATGAGCGCTACCCCCACTCTACAGCAGAATTCTCTACATAACAATCCACTGTTATGTTCTGTTGTGGTCCACTGACTTCTGGCTGCACAATCCACTGTTCTGTTGTGGTCCACTGACTTCTGGCTGCACCCAAAACATAGGAGCTGAGGCACACATTCAGAAATCAAATCTACCAGGAAAAAGGTCATCACATTTTGCAAAGTCAAACTAAAACCACTTTTGGATCATCTCACCTTCCCACCTCACCACTGGCAGAATTTACAGAATGCTCAGGTGTGCTGCTGAGATGGAGTGGCCAGGGCTTTTTGCTTTACAGGGTCAGCGTGCTCTCATCCTCCCCCTTCCCAGAGTCAAAATGCTGTGTGAGAGGATACCTTACCAAAAACAAAAACTTCACTCTGCTGAGGATGCCAAGCGAGGGATGTAGGAAGGTAGCCAGAGGCAGTGCAGCCTGCAAGAGAGAAGAGGGATCTGAAACAAGACTTAGAGCCCAGCTTTGTGAAGGAGTTTCTCAAACGAAATCACCCCAAGTTCCAGAAGCACCTTAATTTGCCTTCCCAAACCCTGCTAAGGTAGTTGTGTCCTTGTCCTCGACCCTCATACCTTCATTTATCTTTCGGCCTCTTGTCCTTTCTGGACACTAGTCACAGGCAGGTTTCAGGTATAAAGCATGAAGACAACAATTCTGGCCCCTTTGTCTACCCATCCTAGAAACGTAAAGTAAATCAGCCACCCACAAACCAACCCTTCATCTTGCTACCCACTGCCCACAATGGAATCAACAGAGCTTCAATGGGAAACAAAGTGATTATGTCTCTTATTCCACAATGACTAAGCATCTGGTGACTTTGTCTTTGTCTCTGACCCAGGAAGCCTCTTCCAGGTGGGTTCCTACTACCACCCTTCCACCACTAGCTCTGACTTACCCATCTGTAATGCTGGCTTGGGACAGCGGGTATCCCAGAGTAAAATTCTGTTGTCCTAGAAGGAGGAACAGGAAAAGAGCTTCACAATCTAAAAAGCAGCTGCAGGCCTCCACACTAGACTTGTGGCCAAAGGGTTCGAGTGTGGTTAGAAGTGAGGAGGGAAGGAAAGGCCGTATCTCACCTCACCGCATAAAAGGAACATGGAATCCTTGTGGGGAGAGGCCATGACGCAGATGACCTGCACAGAGTGAGCTGTGAAGGAGAGAGAGAAGCAAGCATGAAAGAGAAGCTTCAGGTATCACTACCAAGCAGCCCAGATACCACCAAGGGACCCCTTATCTCATGATGCAATTTAACACATTTTCTGAGAGATTTTTGAATCAGACTTAACCTAAGGGAAAATGTTGATGGAGTTCTAACACTAAAAGGCAGATCTGGTCTCATTCATTTGGGGAAGACAATGAATCAGTAAAGACAAGGGAAGAAAGATCAGGGGCTGGGCAAGAAGAGTGAAGGAATTTACATCCCAGAATAGCAATTTTCAGACTTTAGTACACACACCTCAGGACAGCATATAGAAACTTTCAAGGGAGGTCTAGACACTGATACATTTAGGGAAATAAACTTTACAAAGTTATCTTTCCTTATATATGCAATGAAACATTACTTAGCCATCAGAAACAATGAATACCCACCATGTGCTTCAACGTGGATGGACCTGGAGGGTATCATGCTGAGTGAAATAAGTCAATCGAGAGAAGGACAATCATATGGTTTCACTCATACGAGGAATATAAAAAAATAGTGAAAACGATCATAGGGGAAAGGAGAGAAAATGAGTGGGAAAAATCAGAGAGGGAGACAGAACATGAAAGACTCCTAACTCTGGGAAACGAACAAGGGGTGATGGAAGGGGAGGTGGGCGGGGGGATGGGGTGACTGGGTGATGGGCACTAAGGGAGGCACTTGACAGGATGAGCTCTGGGTGTTATACTATATGTTGGCAAATCGAACTACAAAAATAAATAAATAAATACATACATACATACAACCAAAGTTCTCTTTCCTCTATCCACTGGAAAAAAGACAGTCTCTTCAATAAATGGTGCTGGGAAAATTGGACATCCACATGCAGAAGAATGAAACTAGACCATTCTCTTGCACCATACACAAAGATAAACTCAAAATGGATGAAAGATCTAAATGTGAGACAAGATTCCATCAAAATCCTAGAGGAGAACACAGGCAACACCTTTTTGAACTTGGCCACACAACTTCTTGCAAGATGCATCCATGAAGGCAAGAGAAACAAAAGCAAAAGTGAATTATTGGGGGCAGCCCCCGTGGCGCAGCAGTTTAGCGCCACCTGCAGCCTGGGGTGTGATCCTGGAGACCAGGGATCCAGTCCCATGTCAGGCTCCCTGCATGGAGCCTGCTTCTCCCTCTGCCTGTGTCTCTGCCTCTCTCTCTCTGTGTGTGTGTGTCTCTATGAATAAGTAAATAAAATCTTTTAAAAAAATGAATTATTGGGACTTCATCAAGATAAAAAGCTTCTGCACAGCAAAAGAAAAGTCAACAAAACTACAAGACAACCTACAGAATGGGAGAAGATATTTGCAAATGACCTATCAGATAAAGGGCTAGTATCCAAGATCTATAAAGAACTTATTCAACTCAACAGCAAAGAAACAAACAATCCAATCATGCATGGACAAAAGACATGAACAGAAATTTCACAGAGGAAGACATAGACATGAACAACAAGCACATGAGAAAATGCTCCACATCACTTATCATCAGGGAAATACAAATCAAAACCACAATGAGATACCACCTCACACCAGTGAGAATAGTGAAAACAAGACAGGAAAAACAAATGTTGGAGAGGATGTGGAAAAGGGGAACCCTCTTGCACTGTTGGTGGGAATGTGAACTGGTGCAGCCACTCTGGAAAACTGTGTGGAGGTTCCTCAAAGAGTTTAAAATAGATCTGCCCTATGACCCAGCAATTACACTGCTGGGGATTTACCCCAAAGATACAGATGCAGTGAAACGGCAGGACACCTGCACCCCGACGTTTATAGCAGCAATATCCACAATAGCCAAACTGTGGAAGGAGCCTCGGTGTCCATCAAAAGATGAATGGATAAAGAAGATGTGGTTTATGTATACAATGGAATATTACTCAGCCATTAGAAATGACAAATACCCGGGCAGCCTGGGTGGCTCAGTGGTTTAGTGCCTGCCTTCAGCCTAGGGTGTGATCCTGGAGACCTGGGATCGAGTCCCACGTCGGGCTCCCTGCATGGAGCCTGCTTCTCCCTCTGCCTGTGTCTCTGCCTTTCTCTCTCTCTCGCTCTGTGCCTCTCATGAATAAATAAATAAAATCTTAAAAAAAAAAGAAAAAAAAAAAGAAATGAGAAATACCCACCATTTGCTTTGACATGGATGGACCTGAGGGTATTATGCTGAGTGAAATAAGTCAATCGGAGAAGGACAAACATTGTGTGGTCTCATTCATTTGGGGAATAAATAAAAATTAGTGAAAGGGAATAAAGGGAAAGGAGAGAAAATGAGTGAAAATATCAGTGAGGGTGACAATACATGAGAGATACCTAACTCTGGGAAATGAACAAGGGGTATTGGAAGGGGAGGTGGGCGGGGGTTGGGGTGACTGGGTGATGGGCACTGAAAGGGACACTTGGCAGGATGAGCACTGGGTGTTATGCTATAATAGGAGCATACTGTGATTTGTGTTAATAATAAAGAGCTATTCAAATGACAGATGGAGATAGGCTTTTGCTTGTATACGTTTAGAATATTTCTGGAGGAACAATAAAAAAGTATTCTGGAACAGTAACAGTGGTTGCCTCCTCAGAGGTGCACACCTGATAACTGCAAGTTCCGTTTGTGAGAGAGACAAACTGTCCTCTATAATGTACCTTGTATCCTTTGAATTTTTTTTTGCCATCAACACTTACTAGCTATTCTAAATAAATTGAACTTAGAAACAAAACAAAAAAACAAAGTTCTCTTTCCTAAAATTGAACTGAGAAGCTGCTGCCAGTCTGCCAGTGCCCCTTTCCTACCTCCTCTTTCACTTTCCCCTCCTCCCAGTTTTAGAAGGGATATGCACTTCTCACCTACCCATCTCACCATGGTACAAAGCCCAGGTGTCCAAAACCCTAAGGTATTTTTTTTAAAGATTTATTTATTTATTTATGATAGACAGAGAGAGAGAGAGAGAAGCAGAGACACAGGAGGAGGGAGAAGCAGGCTCCATGCCGGGAGCCCAACGCCGGACTTGATCCCGAGACTCCAGGATCACGCCCTGGGCCAAAGGCAGGCGCTAAACCGCTGAGCCACCCAGGGATCCCTCCAAAACCCTAAGGTATTAAACAAAAGGGGCTTTTCCCTGAAAGCCAAAGAGCATCTGGGTAAAATTCAGTGCAGAGGCTGGCCCTGTTTCATCCTACCACAAACCACAACACACCACAAACAACTAGAGAATTCTGGGACTCTATTTCTACCTAACAATGAAAATTTTGAAAACTATGACAGATGGTTGTCCTGAGGACACATCTGACAAATTTAACTGAACTTAAAAATGAAGTCAGACTTTTTCTGATAGAAAGTTGAGTCTAGGGACGCCTGGGTGGCTCAGTGGTTGAGCGTCTGCCTTCGGCTAAGAGTGTGACCCTGGGGTCCAGGGATCGAGTCCCAGATCAGCCTCCCCACAGGGAGCCTGCTTCTCCCTCTGCCTGTGTCTCTGCCTCTCCCTGTGTGTCTCTCATGAATAAATAAGATCTTAAAAAAAAAAAAGAAAAGAAAAGAAAAGAAAAGAAAAGAAAAGAAAAGAAAAAAGAAAGTTGAGTCTAACTTGGCCAGCTGGCTTAACAATGCAGGTTGGTTTTTAGCCAGTTAGGTTATTCGGTTGACATTTTGCATAGATTAAAGGAGCTTAAACTGCAAATCCAAAATTTTGATAAACATGTGCTTGAAACCAGTGCACTATATGGGCAGAAAGTACCTCCTTTGAAATTATTTAAACTTAGATGCCAATTTAAAAATGTGGTACAGGGTAGTTTTTAAAAACATTTTCAGGAGGGCTACATGCCAAAAACTTTGAAGATCACTGCTCTATGATGCTTACAGGCTGTGGAAACCACCTGAAGGCATTTACGAGACTACCAGAGATAGTCTGAATATGACTCTGACCAAGACCGAAGGATGTAATCAAACCACCTTTCATAGTTCTCTCCTAGCCCTAGAATCGACAGAAAGCCAACACAATGAAAAGGAATTGACCACTCACTTGAAAGCAAAGTTCAAAGTCAAGAACCATGGGAAAATATAAAAGATAAATAAGTGGTTCCTCTGCCCTCAAGGGATTTACAATTCAGTGGGGGTGGGGGTGGGGGGGGAGTAAGACAGAAATACAAAGAACTGATGAAATACGGTGAATGGAAGAAGTGCTGAAGGAGTTAGTGCAGACCAGGAAAATCCCTCATAGGGCAGCCTGGGTGGCTCAGCAGTTTAGCGCCACCTGCAGCCTGGGGTGTGATCCTGGAGACCAGGGATCGAGTCCCATGTCAGGCTCCCTGCATGGAGCCTGCTTCTCCCTCTGCCTGTGTCTCTGCCTCTCTCTCTCTGTGTGTGTGTGTGTGTCTCTCATGAATAAATAAATAAAATCTTAAAAAAAAAATCCCTCATAGACCTAAGAAACAAAAGACATCAGTGTTTTAACACTGACTATTTGTTAAATCCTGGACTCTGAAGGTCTGGGATATGTATGAGTTTCTGTTTTTTTGCTTTGGCACATACGTGAATCATACACTTTGCAGTTAGAATTGGCAGGGAATGGCACTTAGACATTGAGGGAACCAGGTAATCACCCAGCACCTACATCTCTTAACCACACACACATTAATGCTCTAGGCATCATCTTCATGAAGAATGACTCCCAGAATAAAGTCAGTTGCTACTACTGTTAATGAAAGAGAGTAAAAAAAAAAAAAAAAAAAAGAATTTTTTTTAAAAGTAACATTAATAGAAAGTGATGATTCTCACCAGAAAAACAGAAACCTTATGGCAGTGAATATTCAAAAGTGCAAGATACACAAGTTTCAGAGTGTATACTTGGAGAATGCCAAGGCTCCACTGTGACTGGGTTTAATTAGGGCAGTTATATTTACAGGGCAAGTAACAGAAGGGCTCGAATGCTATTACAAGAAAATGAGATATTAAACCACAAGCCACGGAAATCATGAAAGGTGAGGGACTGCAGATGGAGAGATGAGGTGAGTGCCACTATCAGTGTGAAGTAAAACTTGGAAGCAAAAGGGAGCATCAGAAATGGAAAGGGAGGATCACTGACCAAGTGGAAAAAGATGCCAAAGAACTTGGGAACACACTGATAGTGAGGAAGCAGGAGGCGTGGAAAAGGCCTGTGAGGTAGAGTCTCATGTGGCCAAACGATGGGGAGGCCAGTACTAGAAACAGGAAAAACACATGTGTTCCAACAAGAACTTCCTTTAACTGACATGTCCTATGTCATTGCCTACTGGGCTTCTGCAAAGGCCTATTCACAATGTATTGCACTATCTCTAAGGAAGTGTTACAGACATGTCATAACAAATCATAATAAATCACTGCATTCTTACAGTAACCCCAACTTTATTGGGTGAGGCTAACAGGATAGTAAAAACACCCAAAGGATGTGTAAAATGCAGGAGCAATCAGCACAAGGACCCACCAGAAGTCTTTGCTACCTGCGTGCCAGAGCTCAGGACACTTGACTGTAGACACGATGTCTGCATGCTCATACTTGCAGAACTCACTGACAATGAGTGTCTGGTTCTTGTCCAGCTCCCACAACCCAACAGCACCTGTTGGGAGTGGGGAGAAGGTTGAGGGAAATGAGTGTGGATTACACCAAGACAGTAATTCACTTTCAGGATTCAAGTGAGTCCACTGTCACTAAACTAATAAAATAAGCTATCACGATAAAAGCAAAAGCAAAATCCACTATCACAAGAGGATTCAGCTAATTTCCAAGTCACCTGGCTTTATGCAGGCATTACTGTTTTCTTAATAACAGTCCAGACAATTAGGCAAGGAAAGTTTCTAGAAAGACAGGAAAAGATGGAATGGCTGGCAAAATCCATTATCTGGCTTCCAGTGAGAAGACACTAGAGATTAAGTTCCAGGAGACATGGAAAAAGTGTCAACAATCTGTGTAGCACACAATCCAGTGTGGTTAAATCTTCCCAATTGGTTGGACATTTGTATTTGTTGAACAATTTGAATAAACGCCTTACAGCTTCTTTAAAAATACTGTAAATAACTGGATGTCTTGCACAGTGACAGGTTAAGTACAGAGAACCCCCCAAAAGTTATCTTGAATATGTAGTGCTCAAGCTGAATTCTCAAAGGCTCAGTCTTTAATGCCCACTTTTATCCTTCCATGCAATGCCTGCCAATCCCCAAATTCTGATTTTTTAGTTCCAAGGACTCCACTGCTGAATTTGACTTTCAAAGCAAACAAAGCAGAAGGAAGACATTTAGAGAGAAGAAAACAGGAAGAAATAGAGACAGCACAGACTGGGTTAAGCATCATCTTTAAGATCAAGATTATATCCTTAGTCTGGGTTGAGGGGGGATATGGGAAGGTTGCCGGGAAGAAAAATGGTTCTGATCCATTTCTTGTTTTTTTTTTTTTTATAAAGTTATTTTTTATTGGTGTTCAATTTGCCAACATACAGAATAACCCCCAGTGCTCATCCCGTCAAGTGCCCCCCTCAGTGCCCGTCACCCATTCACCTCCACCCCCCGGGCCTCCTCCCCTTCCACCACCCCTAGTTCGTTTCCCAGAGTTAGGAGTCTTTATGTTCTGTGTCCCTTTCTGGTATTTCCCACACATTTCTTCTCCCTTCCCTTATATTCCCCTTCACTATTATTCATATTCCCCAAATGAATGAGAACATATAATGTTTGTCCTTCTCCGATTGACTTACTTCACTCAGCATAATACCCTCCAGTTCCATCCACGTTGAAGCAAATGGTGGGTATTTGTCGTTTCTAACGGCTGAGGAATATTCCATCGTATACATAGACCACATCTTCTTTATCCATTCCTGATCCATTTCTTAATTTTGTTAGAAATTCCCACCAGGCAATCTGAACCTCCGAAAAGCATTTTCCTGCTACACAAGATCTCTCCTTCAGACCAACACCCTGAAGCTCCCCCTAGCATTGAAGATGGGACATTAAAGACTGAGCCCGGTCCGACCCATATCCCATCCTTCATTCCACCGGTGGGGTTGAGGAGAAAGTGCCTCACCTGGATCGGAAGCCACTAGGACACCTGTCTCCAACCCAAGTGAGGTCAGCCACTCGGCCTCTGCCTGCACAGCGGAGCAGAAGCCTTCGTTGGCGGCGGCACGAGGGTCCTTGAAGAGCCAGAGGGAGCCAGCCCAGCAGCGGCCACGGCGGCTGGAGGCCCCCAGCAGGAGCGCCCCATCTACGGGAAGCACGAGCTGTCAGCGCGGGAGCAGCGAACAGGCTCGTCTCCAAGGCGACCGCACTCAGCTGCTCGCGGGCCGGGTCGGGATCCGAGCTCCAGGACGCGGGGCAAGGGTGGGGACTGAACTAAGCGACGCGAGTCAGGGGTCACGAAGGCGCGCGGGGCGGGGGCGGGCTGGAAAGGCCAGTCCCGGGAAAGGGCATCATCCCCAGCCAAGGTGAGGAGGGAGCTCCCAGGCCCGGGATCCCCGCTCACCGGACCGGTACCGCGCAGCCTCAACTCGTTCCAAACGCGCGGGCGCATTAGGGGGAAGGTTCCACTGGCGGGGGGCGGGGGCGCCGGCGGGGGCGGGGCTTCCTTCCGCACCTCCACCGCTCTAACTCCAACCTAGGCCCAAACCGGACGCCCGCCGAGATTCCGCTCCCGGAGCCCCCACGTGGTGCCCGTCTGGGCCTCCGCTCCTTCCCACAGGCTCCGGCCACTCTATATCTCGCGAGAATTGCTTCTACGGTTCCGCTGCGCGGTCGGCAGCGCCCTCGGGCAAAAGGTTCATCCCGCTCCAGG